GGAGGACTGTACGGAGGAGGACTGTACGGAGGAGGACTGTACGGAGGAGGACTGTATGGGGGAGGACTGTACTGAGGAGGACTGTACGGAGGAGGACTGTACAGAGGAGGACTGTACGGGGGAGGACTGTACGGGGGAGGACTGTACGGGGGAGGACTGTACGGAGGAGGACTGTACGGAGGAGGACTGTACGGGGGAGGACTGTACGGGGGAGGACTGTACAGAAGAGGACTGTACGGAGGAGGACTGTATGGGGGAGGACTGTACTGAGGAGGACTGTACGGAGGAGGACTGTACAGAGGAGGACTGTACGGGGGAGGACTGTACGGGGGAGGACTGTACGGGGGAGGACTGTACGGGGGAGGACTTACCGCATATTTAAATTTCAGATTGAACTCTCTGTCATTTGCTCGGAGGCGCCTCTCTTTCTCTGCAGGAAACATATAAAGGAAAAATATTACTTGTAGAACTGAACTTCTCCCCAGTTATAATATTCAGCCATCTACGTAATACAAGCAACACTTCCCATGTTTTATGCTTCAAAAACACTAAAAGTACAACAAAGATACCCCATGATCAGCCGAAAATCCAGTGAGCTCCTGCCTTCCTATAGAGAGGTGACAACACAGTGCTCGGATGCACCGAAATCCCAAGCAGTGTTGTCAGCTCTGCCTGTGTGTCATATATGTGGTTGTATACAGGGCCGCTGATAGGGAGCACTGACAGTCCTTACCGGGCCCTCTAGAACTCTCCAATCAGCAGGTAGCATGAACTTTGCTGATGCCGTTTCTCGGTCTGTGGTCCAGTAGGAGTCTGCAAATTAAAAGTTCTGACTTTGCTCTGAGTTTCTAATCTTCATTAGATCGGGGGGGATGGGGTGTAAGCAGTAAAGCTGGCCATACACATGGCAAAGTTCAGGCAACTTCAACTGCTTAGATCAAAAGTGGTCATCTAACCAATCAATCTACCATCCAAACATTGATCAGAGGGAGATAGAGAGATACAAAGTAACATTGTTTATAAACATTGATCAGAGGGAGATAGAGAGATACAAATAACATTGATCGGAGGGAGATAGGGACAAGATAACAATACTTTTGTATCTACTTTGCTTCATTTATCTGCAGATTTGTATATGATGTCAGTTGAAGTAAACCTGACAGGTAAAAACAAATTGTTTTTCTTTTTTAAAATAAAATGTCTTCCTATTTTACTTCATATCAACTCTTAGTTTACCATAATCAGACAGAGAGGTAAGTATAAAGCACACGATCATTCTGCTTGTCCGTACACCTTGTGTCCCTACACCTCTCAATACTGAGCTCATATTCAGAAGCCGGCCCTACATAATACACCTCTGGTGTCAGTGTCCCCGGACGGCAGCCCCTTTCTTCGAAGGGAGGAACAAACTCCCTCTTGGATTATGAAAGAATTACACGTCTGTTTTCTTTAATTATTCTACTATTGACTTTAACTGGTTTACAGGCTGGTAAGTTAATAACATTAACATTACATTATGACAAAGGAGTTTGGTATGTGACCCTTCTCAGTGTGCAGGAAACAGATGTTGTCACTGCCTCATGCCAAGAGGGGTTGGCAGCTCTAATATTATAGAGGATCTACAGGTTGCAGCATGGGGCACCAGCTCTCTTAAGACTCCTTAAAGGCAAAACTGGGGGTAGCAGACAGAGGTGTTCAGACAAACATCCTGTTACATAAAGCAGAACTTCAGACAGATTAAAAAAAAAAACCACACAATTTTATCAAGTAAAAAAAAAATGTAAACAGCAGGAGGAAGGAGGTCCTGATCCCTCTATATAGATCTTTATTATCACTAGAGGGATCTCCAGCAGGAGGAAGGAGGTCCTGATCCCTCTATATAGATCATTATTATCACTAGAGGGATCCCCAGCAGGAGGAAGGAGGTCCTGATCCCTCTATATAGATCTTTAATTATCACTAGAGGGATCTCCAGCAGGAGGAAGGAGGTCCTGATTCCTCTATATAGATCTTTAATTATCACTAGAGGGATCCCCAGCAGGAGGAAGGAAGTCCTGATCCCTCTATATAGATCTTTATTATCACTAGAGGGATCCCCAGCAGGAGGAAGGAGGTCCTGATCCCTCTATATAGATCTTTATTATCACTAGAGGGATCTCCAGCAGGAGGAAGGAGGTCCTGATCCCTCTATATAGATCTCTATTATCACTAGAGGGGTCTCCAGCAGGAGGAAGGAGGTCCTGATCCCTCTATATAGACCTCAACCACTAACAGGAAGAGAGTTCTAGACTAACCTTAGAAGATATTATTACACAGAAAGAGTAGTTGATGCTTGGAACAGACTTCCAACAGAGGTAGTGAGTCCATCATCAACAGTAAGTGAATTTAAATATACTTGCAACAAACATGGATCTACACTCAGACACAAAAGCTTAAAAAATTAATAAATACACAAGAAATGGGGCGGACTCGATGGACCTCTGGGTCTTTTTCTGCCATCTCTCTTTTATGTTTCGATTTTAACTCTAACGTGTCAGGACGCCGAGGTCTGGATGGGCCCTCAGGCAGCAGCGTGGAGACTGTTTTTATTACACGCTCCTCCTTATCCCTGGAACGTTTTCACTTTTTTGGGGCAGAGTTGGAACAATGAAGGTCACTCCTAGCAGACTCCATCGCCTGCCAACTCCCATCACAACACAAGAACCTTCTCCAGCTCAGCGCTGATACGGTTTTTCCTGGAGATCAGTGTGAAAGAGAACTCCCATGGCTCTCACGGCACGAGTTTCCCTTAATGTAAGCCGCAGTTATCGTAGATCTGGACGCGTCAGCACATGTGCACTGGTGATGCTAGCTCCGATCAGTGCACTGCCGCGGGATAAAATGCTGCCGGTCTCAATTTTTATTGGTGTACGCCACTGAAGTGGTGTAGCGTGGGTTGTCGGCGCCCGGGGCAAGGCAAGAATGGCACCGGCTGCGCCCCCTTACCCTGTGGACTGCTACCACTCCCTGGGTATCAGTGCATCCCTACCTGAACCCCAATAGAGGACTACAAATCTCAGCAATACATTATACAGCAATGCAGAATAGTGTGTGAATTTGCTACATACTCTGCTACTCTGCTGCGGAGTGCCGGCCTGATTGGGCGGAGGGTCTCTGCAGGGGCAGATGTGGAGGATCGCAGCGGGGCAGATGTGGAGGATCGCAGCGGGGCAGATGTGGAGGATCGCAGCGGGGGCAGATGTGGAGGATCGCAGCGGGGGCAGAAGGATCAGAGCAGGAGCAGATGTAGACGATCGCAGCAGGGGTGATGTGTGGCCGGCGCTGTAAACAGGCGCTGCTGTGGTTCCCCAGATGGCTGCCGAGAGGTCCCCAGGAAGCGCAGGACCTGACAGCAGCCAAATCTATAACAGAGTTAAAGTGCCCTGCCTCCTCCAATGAAGGGGGGGACCAGGACAGACTCTCACTGGCGCCCCCAGCCTTGGGTAGATCTGTCCCTGAGTCCCCAGGCTCAGTCTGCCCCTGCCACCAGCGGTGCCGCTGCTCTCCTGCCTGCCGCTCTGGGTGAAAAGGACAGCTGCTGTGCGCCCCTGTAAAATATGGGGCCCAGGGCAGTTGCCCCTTTTTGCCCTGCAGTAAAGATGGCCCTGCCCGTAGCACCCCTTATAACTTTGCGCCCAGGGCCACTGTCCCCCTTGCCCCCTCCTATGCTACGCCAATGCATCACGTTGGTGTGAACTTTGGCAATAGAATACAAGGCCTTTACCCTTGTCCATGCATGGGGACTGCTTTGGCCAAAGCAACCCAACACATGTGGTGAGAACAAGCCCTGAGGGCTGCTGGGATTGCATTGAGGTGATTTCCCTTCGCTTATTGTCCTTTAGACACAACAGGAAGTGAGGTGAACGTTCCTTCAAAGTACAGGAAATCCTTTTATACTTGTTAGCACAGCCAGTGTCCCCAATGGAAGGTTTCCCCTCTGTTGCAACTCAAAATTTCAGATTTTTCCTCATCATCAGCCTCATGGGGACAAATAGAATCTGGATGAATCTGTTCCACAGGACTTCTAACTCCTCATCACTCTATTCAACCATAAACGGAAATCTGCATTTAGATACATCTTAATTTAGGAAACAAAAGATAAAACAGAGCGCCTCCATAGTGTAAAAAATTGGGAAAATTGGTCCAAATTGGGGAAATTGGGCCTCCTCCGCATAAACTAAATTAAGATGTAAAAGACAACAAAAACCGGCGCCGCCGGTTGCAAGAATAAAGCCCAATGTGATGTTGGTAGATACACAAAGGAGGCTGCTCCCACCGGTCAACTAGACCCTCGATCTGGGAAACAAAAGATAAAACAGAGCGCCTCCATAGTGTAAAACAGTTATTTATTTGAACGGCACACAGCTGAAATTCTACTCACAAAAAGGTCGATCGATATAAGGCATGCAAGAGATGAAGTATGAAACTCTGACAGCGGGAGTCTCACGGGGTGAAACAAATCAAAGGTCCTCTGCCCCTGTGAGTTCGGTTGGTCTACGCGTTTCAGGGGCACGCCCCCTTCATCAGAACCAGGTTCTGATGAAGAGTTTCATACTTCATCTCTTGCATGCCTTATATCGATCAACCTTTTTGTGAGTAGAATTTCAGCTGTGTGCCGTTCAAATAAATAACTGTTTTACACTATGGAGGCGCTCTGTTTTATCTTTTGTTTCCCAGATCGAGGGTCTAGTTGACCGGTGGGAGCAGCCTCCTTTGTGTATCTACCAACATCACATTGGGCTTTATTCTTGCAACCGGCGGCGCCGGTTTTTGTTGTCTTTTACATCTTAATTTTGTTTATGCGGAGGAGGCCCAATTTCCCAAATTTGGACCAATTTTCCCAATTTTTGTCACATTGAATAGTTGAATTGGATTTTAACCTTCGTCAGGACAGGCGTGAGGGGAAATCTCCTCTATGGGGCTTTTCCTGTAACTGATCTTATTTCAGCAGTAATGTCCTCGCAATTTTCCTAGGAATGTCAGGAATACGTTCAGCAAAGGTGCTGATTGCTCCAACGTACATGATTGATTTCCAAGTCTATAGAAGACAAACCACCATCATGAAAACAAACCACACAAAGCAAGCGAATGTGGTGTCAAAAATTACTTTCCGGGAAACCGCATTTTTGTTTTTATTCATCCGATGTTTAATAAACTACCATGAAAAATAAACAGACCGCATTCAGGGCAAGGCGTAAAACATCCGAGACTGCGGCACAATAGAGGCACAAAGCCAATAATGGATAAAAAAAAAACAAGAAGCAGACGTATAAAAATAGAGAGTCATTAAACATAATAATGGCAGCCGGTCAGGTGACTCCAGGCAGCCAGTCAGGTGGCCCTAGGCAGCCAGTCAGCATAGTTCAGGCAGCCAGACACCAGGCAGCCGGT